GTGACACAAGACATCAAGTGGCCAACRTCCCTTTGGAGCCTGGCAGTGTCACAGACGAGGATGAGACCTGGCTCTTGCCGAGAGCAGGTAGGTGGTGGAGAGAACCTGTGCTTTAAGGGCATCCGGCACCACCACTGGAATCACACGGGAGCCCCTGCTCTGCACTCGCTGGAGGGATTCACGCAGGACACAGGCATTAGTGGAGGAGGTGGTGGCTGGGGAAGCAGCGAGTCCTTCAGGAGGGCACAAGGTGTTTGTGTCCTGGTGCTGGGTGTGATCAAGAGCAAGGGGACCCGTGTGCCGTGATTCACTCCAGCACTGTGCGTTGGTGCCGGGAAGAGGCGGCAGTTTCTTCCTCTGAGGAGGGTCCGACGATCCGTGGGGTGTCTGTGATTCCCGGGCTCCAGGCAGAGCAGGGATGATGCAGAGCACGTTGCACGTAGAAGTGTCACGTGGAGAAGAACTGTCTTGTTTCCCAGTGCTGACCCCGCTGGGAGGAGTTCTGTCAGGAGCCGTGGGAAGGCATTGCAGGGAATGGCTTCAAGGCAACACAGCTCGCTTGTGTGCATGAATTTTTAAGAATTTTCATGTTCTCAGAAGTTTTTTTATTATTATTATTTTCTTAATATTTAGTATTGTGGAAGAAATGAGGTATGCTGCTGGGCAGCCCAAATGAAACTTGTCCTAGAACCTCCTTGCCCGTTTAAGAATTTTACGTATTCAAATAAGTGGCCATTTGGGTAGCTAGTGGRTTTACGAAGTTACGGAGATTGCAGCTGAATCCACGACGATGTAGACACCATGTAGGGCCCAAATTCTTCAACGTATTTCTATGTATGTGTGACTTTCTTGGGTGGGCAGGGGGAGAAGAAGCCTAACAGGAAAGTAGAGGCACTGCCCTCGACCTGGCTCTCGGGTGCTGCTTCTTGCAGCTTTGCTGCTCTGTGAAGTTTTCTAGTTCRAAGGGGCTCAGAAGAAGGTCCCCAAGTGCTGATGCTAGAGCAGGGATTAAACTGGATGTATCCCGTCCTAGCCAAGTGCTTTTTAAGAGAAGCCTCTTGTTTTTAATAGTTTCAACAGTGTCATCAATGCTTTCCCTCTCTGTCTTATTTAATCTTTGTGTTGTTTGCTGATCGTGGTTATAAAATAAACAAGACTCTGTGTTTTTCTTTTTTTTTCTCTTGTGTGTGTTTATACTTCAGAGAAATTCTCAGCCATGTAATAAATTCCCAACGAATGTGCCCGAACTCTTGGGAGTTCAAACCACCCTAAAGGGCCAAGCAACGCTCAGAAGCAGTGCTCGTAGCAAAAGGTATCCAGTTTCTATTTATTTCCCTTTTAAAAGAAGCTCACCCTCTCTCTCTTCTGTTCTCTCCTTTCTTGCTATTTTTCTTGTTTCCTCCTGTTTTAGTGTGTTAAAATAAGGCAGTTCTCGAAGTTTCTGTTAGCACAAAGCACCTACTGTTTTTGCACGGTTACTGTTAGGCTGCTGCTTGGCAGGCTTGGATTAATTGTAAGGCGTGGTGAATGTTTTCTCCATAGTGTTATTGTGCTAGGGGAGAGGAGAGTCACAGTAGCCTCGGTTTATTGGGAGTGATGATGGAGATTTTATATCAAATCTTTTCTCTGCTGTTCAGATACCCTGGACTACCAGAGGACAATAGTCTGCCTTGAAGAAACCTTGATTGTTAAAGGGCGTTGATGATAAGATTTTAATATAGCTGAGCTGTTGATCAAGGAACAGACGTATCTGGTGTCCRTGCAGAGGGTTGGGAGGGCTCCCAGCACAGAGCTTGGGACCAGCTTCAGGAGCGTCTGGCTCCAGGTTTTGGATGCTCTGAGTTCTGGATCACTTCACCTTCCTTGCATGCTGGAAATCGGATGCCAGCAGCCAGTATTGGGAAGCTCTGGCGTTTCATGAGCTTGTGCTCCTTCCAAATTGCATTGGACACGCACAGATAGGTAGTGTTCTCTGTTGCTTCTACGAACCATATCACCTTACAGTCGTTGAAGTGGCTTCTTTGTTGTGAATGCTTAAGCTCTCTATCCTTCCCCCTGCATTTCTCTTGCCCTAGTTAGCTTCTTAAAGGTTGAGGGGAAGTAGAAGCAGCACTAGACAAGCCTGGCTTTTCTTTTTGCTTGTTTTTTAAATTGCCAGTGGAGAACTACAGAGTTTTCTGGAGCTGACTGTACAACAGCTTGTAACGTGTGAGCAAATGGGAAGTGGGGGCAGAGACTTGGACCAAAAACGTAGCTGGTCAGTTAAGAACTTGTATGACTTAATTGCCAAAAGCTTTATTTATTTGAAACTACTGATGATGTAAGGAGGGTGGTGAGGGTGTAGCCCGCCTGTCTTCGACGTGACCGGTGGCACGGGTCACGGTTGCAGCTTTGCTCTGTGTCGTCGCAGGCATGAAGTGGTCTCGGCTCCCTGTGTTTCTGTTCTGGGGCTTGGCTGCTTTGTTTTTCTCCTCTGTGYCCATGTATGTTGTTTAATGTGGCTGTGGATTTCCCTGTAAAGGGACCAGTGAAGTCCTGCCGCTCTCAAACGCTGTGTTCAGGCTCCTGCACAATGGGGTTTTTGTTAGAAGGGTTTATTGGGCATCTGCTCCACGTTCACTGATCCTAGAAAATGCTCCAAGGTTCCCTGCGGGGAACTTGACACTTGGAATGCGCAGGCCTGAAAGTCCCAATTGTTGCTGTAAAATGAGAGTAAGAATGACCCGGGACGCGATGGGGAGCTCRTTCTGCAGCACTCTTTGCTCCCAGGCCGTGGAGCTCCTCATCCCTCACAGACACGAGGGAAGGACAAGCCATCCGCACGCAGGCTACACCGCTTCCAGTCACTGGGTTATGGGCACGAAGGGGTTAAGCTGGCAGAAACGTCTCTGTACGAGATGTTCTTAAATTCTTGTGTTCTGCTGTTGAATGTTAATTTTTATGCTGATATAATAGTGTTCACAGACACAGTTGCAAATTCTCCTCGGCGTACTAAAAATTGTTAGTTAAATATTTATCCGTGCTGATTAATAGTTAATTGTGAATGCTGGTTTGAGAGTGAAGATGGATGGATGGATGATACAGGCAGAACCTACAAGAACAGAAAGGTTTCCATCCTACTCCTTTAAACCAAGAAGGTTTAAAGGTTAAAGGTTTAAACCAGCAAGGTTGTGAAACTCATTGCAGCAAACTTGCTGCAGTCTCCTCCTTAGCTGCAGCCCTGCTCTCGCGGGGCTTGCCCAGAAATACCCCCGGCTCTCGCTGACCATGAAGATTTCCTGATTTGCTGCCAGTCCCTGCTGTATTTCCATGGCAATTAAAGGAGAGAGAAGGGTGGGGAGGCCACAGGGCGCAGTCTGTCCACGCGAAGCAACCGTTCCTGCCTCTGCAGGTCTGTCTTGTCCTTGCTGCGGCCGAAGCAGAGCGTTGAGGAGGCCTCGTGCTTGCGGGACAGCGTGTCCTGCATCCCACCCCTTCATCCCGGGAGAATATCATGGGCCTCTGCCCCCAACACGTGTCCTGAGAATATATAAGAAATTTCTGCCTTTTTTTGTATTTTGTGCTGTGTTTTGCTTATTGAACTTGGTAGTTTATGTTATAGAGCTTATTTGTTTATTTTGCATCTAAACAATTACCCTTTTTGGGAGCACCAGGCAAATGTGCTTGAGCTCCATTCGTGTTTAGGAGGTGTCTATCTTCATTATGGAAAGAACTCGCCTGGTAAAATTACCTTTTATCTGTATTTCACTCTTTCCTATTGCAAACTACACATCTTGCATATCAATATATAGATCTGAAAATACCATAAGGGAAAAGTGGGTGCATCAGCACGCCCGTGATCCTGGAGGAGGTGGGAGGCTGATCCCTGCGGGTGACGGGAATCGCGCTGGGTTCTCCGAGCAGCGCGCGGCCCTTCCCGGGGCGCTTCCCCCCGGAACACCGCCAGTGCGGGGCGTGTCCCGCATTCCGCGGTGCCCTCCGGAGCGGAGCAGCGCGTCCATCCTCGCTGTACCCTGCCCTGCCCTGCTGGAGGGCCACGGGGACCGACCGCGCTGCGGAGTCCTCTGCTTTGGAAAGATCGCATCCTTCTCCAGGAAGCCGGACAAGGATCCGAGAAGCTGTGTGTGCTTGGGAGGTTTTTGTCTGGCTTCTTTTGTGTGGATTCCTCCAAACTCCTTTTTGTTCATATATGAGTAAAATTTTAGTATAATTTTCTCCRAAAGTGATTAATGATTTTTTTTGTAACCGCTTCTGCCTGCAATAAACTGTAGTGTGTTATCCAGTAGGAAGGTGGTGTCGGGCAGCTTCTCCATGTGCTAACGTGTCCCTTCCTCTGATGCTGCACCTTCTCCGATTGACAGTCCTGTGGCTGCAGTGCCGGGGGGATTGCTGTCATTGTGCCACTTAGGTGGCTCTGTTCCCCGTTGCTTTCCTGTAGCTTTCTTGTTAGTAATTGCACAATTACTGGACAACTGGGGCATCCGTTAATACCGTTTAATGACAGATGCTGTTTTGCCTGGCAATTAGGTGACAGCGTTTTGGGGATGTCCAGGACTGAGCGTAAAGCTGGGAGATGTTTACCAGAAAAGTGCAAGCTGCTGAGCTGCCGTCCTAGAAAGAGAATTTGGGGGAGAAAAAAACAAAAACAAGCAAAACAAACTGATAAAGGAGAAGCTGGAWGGAGGAAATAGGGACGTGCAGTTGAGGCTTGAGCTGCTGAGCAGTAGGATGGGGATGATATAAGTGAAAACTGGGAATTATTTCTTTGTTATTCTATTGAGAAAAGAAGTTTAAGGAACATTTTAGACCAATTATCCAATATATATGACTGATTGACATGGTGTCCCTATTGGAAGTGGCTAGAATATTGAAGAACAAGTTTGCATTTAAAAAACAACAAAAAAATGACATCCTAACATTAAGTGTGCTGAGTTTCCCGGAAATAAGGAAATGAAGCTTTTGAAAAATCAGTTTTTCATAAGTTTTTCTTGTTTTCTCAGGGCACGGAGTCCATTAAGATGGAAAATGGACAAAGCACAGCAGCTAAGCTGGGGCTTCCTCCCCTCACACCTGAACAGCAGGAAGCTCTCCAGAAAGTGAGTAAAGCTGCTGTATATTTGCTTCTTAGCACCTTCTTAATTTTGATTTTATTTTATTTTTCCACTAGTGCCTAYTATTGCTCTTGTAAAAGGAAACTCATCTGCCAAGGAATATGTATCAGATAACAGCCATGCTGCATTTAGACCCACTCTTTTAAACTTGTRCGCCACTTTTGTTTATTTTAGGAGTTTGTTGTTGCTTTTTGGGACAGAAGAGGGAATTTGTTGGGAGTTTGGGGTRGGGTGTTAAGTCCTAATCAGAGCAGATGGCACTTTGAGATCACGCTTGATGCTGAAGCAGTATGCAGCTGCTGCCGGGCTCSTGCTAGGAGCAGCTTGTACCTGCAGGGACTAGGTCTGTCGTGCTCCAGCTGGTCTTTGGCTTTGTCCACCCAAGAACACGCTGCAAACGCCTCTGCTTGTTCCCTCGTGCTCCCTTCTGCACTGCTGTACAGGGATCCCGGAGCATCCACCAACATTTTCAACCCCTTTGAGCCAAGCTGATTTTATCTAGATAAAAACTCAGTCAAGCTCTGATTTCTGCTTGTTGGTTCTGTTTTATCCGGCCGCAGGGAGGTCACTACTATCTTCTGGCTCACTTTCCTCCTGGGAGTGAGCGGTGCCTGGCTCACAGAGCGCCGAGTTGGGAAAAGAGGGAACGGAAACAGGCGCGGGGGCTGTGGGAGCTGCGGGCCGGGTGTCCCCCGCGCTCTGCTGAGGCCGGGGCAGCCCCACGCTGGGTGACTGGGCGCCAGTGTCCCGCGGTGCTGACGCTGCTGGTGTGTGTGTTGGCTCGCAGCACGCAGCCGCCTCCGGCTGCTCCCTAGCTCACGGATGTGAACCCCCTTGGCCATCTGCGGGTTTCCGAAGCAAACGTCTCCAATCCACCGTGTAGAGCCTGCTGTGCCCTGGCACCTCCCAAACACGTAGAGCCGTGGGAAGCAGGTGCCCGAGGGCTTGGCTCTGCATGCCTGTCCCATCCCTTGAGAGCAAGCTTGCCCTTGACACAGAGCGCTTGTATCCACAGGGCTGGGTRTTAAGCTCAGGCTTCGCCACAGTTTTGGAAGGCTCAATGAAAAAGTCAAACGGCGCTTGTGTTGCAGGCCAGCAGCTCAGAGAGGAGAGCTGGAGCATTTTAGTGAGCAAGAGCAGAGGCTCCTCCCGGTTAGAGCAGGCAGACGAGCTAAGGAACGAGGGAGTGCCCGGGGCCCGGGCCTGGGGATTAGGAGCCCCCTTCCCTTTTGTTAGAACTTCTTCGTCCAGATGTTCCCTGAGTGGAAAGGACTTGAAGGAGGCTCTGTCCTGTCCTCATCCCAGCAGGTAAGGTGCTCTGGTGGGGCTAAGGGCAGAGGGAGGAAGAGGGGAAACGCTGAGTGTGTCGTGCATGCCGCTTCCCTAACCCTGCGCCTGCTGCAGACATGAACCCRCCAGTCCCCTGCTCAAACCCTGTGCTGTATTTCAGGGCTCGCGACTCCGAGACACAGACCAAGATGTTAGTAAGACGTGGGCTATTGCACAGTGCCCTGGTGCTTGGGGCTGGAGCTCTGGAAGGCACCACGGGCCGACAGTTGTTCGGTTCTGCRGAGCTGTGCTGCGAGGGCAGACGTCATTCCCTCGTCAGTGGTCCTGTCCTGTRGCTACAGAGTCTATGTTTCCTTCTAGGCAAAGAAGTATGCAATGGAGCAGAGCATCAAGAGTGTGCTGGTGAAGCAAACCATCGCCCACCAGCAGCAGCAGCTCACCAACCTGCAGGTGAGAGCCTCCCTGAGATTCTCCTTCTCTKCCTACTCTCCCCAACAAGGTGGAGTTTTTTTGCACTTAGAACCAGAGCACAGCCCTGAGGCCTGCCAGGAGCCAGGTACTCGCGCTTCTGTTTCCACAGGGAAATGGAAGTATGCTGTCCTCAGCCCTCAAAGAAATCCCCTTGACTCATGCAAATTGCCCCCCAAATTCACGTGCTCAAAGAGAAAATTTTCTCAAGAATTTCCCTCCTGTTGGAGAGAAATTTTGTCTCCTTTTGGCTGGCTGAAGGTTCCTTGAAAAACCAGAATCCRATCCAAAGAACCTGCTGTGGGTGCCGTGTCCAGCCCACGTGGTGTGTGGGGTTCCTGGAACCTTCCACCACCCTCTCCCCGTGACCAGTGGGTGCCTGTCTCGCATTACTGACAGTGTTTAACCCATTTTCTTGCCCTTCTCCCTTGCACGCTGGCAGTTTCACCGAGATATTTGCTTGGCTATTCCTGCTAATGCTGGAATGCCTCTGTCCTTAAGGAGAATCCTTAAACTGAAGGAAGTCTGCCTCCCTTCAGAAGTTTTTTGGAACACRTTGCTGCCTTTCCTCCAAATTAAGAAGCCCAAGATAATGGCATTGGGCGTTTGTAAGCGAAGCGCCGGCGTGGCCRTGCCTGCCGCGTTCGGCAGCTCTGGCCCTTCCGGGCTGTGCGTGTTTCTGAGTGGCTCTGGTGGTTGAGGGGCTCCTTCTTAAATGCTGGGGGTGAATCAGCGACAGTGGTTACAGAGGTTACTATTGCCTTGAGGCCCCCTGGGAGAAGAGCCTGCTTCCCGGGGCAGTGGCAGCAGCACAACTCCACCCTGGCCTGGTGGGGCTGGCATGTGCAGGGTCCCAGCGCCGGACAGTCCTTGGGACCAGGCAGTGAGGGGCGAGGAAGGAGAGGCCTCTCTCGCAGGGTCCCTGTGCCGCCRCTCTGCTTGAGTTTTTACAAACAGCCATAGTATGCTCAGCTCCAACAGACTGAACTCTGTCTTTACTGTCTTTCAGATGGCAGCAGTGACAATGGGCTTTGGAGATCCTCTCTCACCTTTACAATCGGTCAATAGACATATTCACTTCTTCTTGGGCACTTGTCTTAGTCAGGGCCTAGCGTGGGGAAGAATGTAGTGGTAATACAATGTTCTTAACTCAACCCAGCACAACCCTCCCACATACCCACCTGTTATGGACAAGCACAACAAGCAGAGGCAAAGTGTAAACTCCCCAGAGGAAGACCCTGGGCTGGGCGCAGTCTGCTGCAGCCCTGGCAGCCGGGGCCTTGGAGGCAGTTGGCAAAGCAAGCTTTAGATTTCCAACAGTTCTGAACACACCCGTGAAATTGTGGGAGCTGCATTTCTAGGGACGCTGCAGTTCTGAGGTCCTGACCTAAAACTAACTGCCAAGGTAACTCACAAAGGGGCAACTACTTGTAAAGCAAACTCCCGGCACCAGAGAGCTGGCAGCTGAGGTGCTGGGGAGGCCGGGGCACACAGGCTTGCGGAGCACCTTGCAGCGCCGGGCAGGACGGTTCTTACTGTGCATGACTCCAGGCGAGGCGAACGCGGCACGTCTCACACAGCGGAAGAGCAGGGTGGAAGGAGCAGAGCTGCAGGGCTGTTCAGGGAAGCTGTGCAGTCCTTTAGCGCTGGAATTTCTGCTCAGACATCGCAAAGACTTAGTTACCTGGGATTATGCAGTCCCTCCTTTTTCCTAGACGTGTTGGGCAGTGGCCACTGCAAGAAGTGCAGAAGGCTCCGCTCTGCATGCAAAGGTTCAGTTGTAAATATTGGCCCATCTTGTATTTGATTGCTCTAAAATGCAACCGGAGGTCTGTACTTCCAAGTGAAATGTGCACTAAAACTAAAGCCACCTGGTTTCTCTCCTTTAACACTGCTACGGTAGGTAGCACATCAGCAGGGCAGTTGAAGTAGAATTGGAATGGAGCAGGATACATCTCAGTATGAATTTGGCACAGATGGTTTCTGAGCCCAGCCCTGGGGCCCAAGAAGCTCAACTAGGTGCTTATTTGGCAGCGTTAACTCCACCAGCTTTGCTAAATTGTTTTTGGCAGCCTGTATTATTCACACCCGGGCAGCAGAGGAAAAACAGGTACCGATAATGTGAAAAGAAGTTAAAGTTTAAGTTCTCATTAGCCCCCAGGGCASAGGAGTTCTCCTAAGACATCCCTCCCTCCATAAGGAGCCAGTGTCCACTGCCAGCGGGGTGGAACGGAGGAGCAGGAATCTTCTCTGATTCCTCCGTGGTGGTACAGTTTGGTATAGCCACAATACCAAAATCCCCAAACCCATCGGGAATGTCCAAAATATGAACAGGCCTCTGTCCAACATTTTTTTCCTGTTAACAGGACTCATCAATTCCTACATGAAGGAAGTGCAGCCTGAACTTCCTATTGCGGTGTTATCCTAGTGCCTGTGATTTAAAAATCTGCCGCCTACTTAATCCTCCAAATGTTGCAGCTTGAGACTTCCCATGTTGCATGAGCAAGATGAGCACAATTTCCTGACATCACTGCATTAAAACCGAAGCGAGTGGTGATGTTTTTGCATCGCCACCTTTGTCTAAAGCAGCATTCAAAGATGACACTTCAGCTTGTGCTTAAAATAACCCTCATATGCACTTAACCAACAGCAGTGTTATATAGATGCAACCTATGGATGCAAACACTGCTGCCTTTATGAAGGTAGTGCATACCTCAGGCTCYGCTTTAAAGGTGGAAGGGAGGCCGGCTGGAAGCTACCGAAAGTGGCTGGTGAAAGCAGAGAGATCTCTGTGCCCGAGTTTTTGGCACGTAGTCCTGTGCATGGTTCAAGGTGTAGGGTGCATCATTCCCCAGGCCGATAYTAGATCCCGTTCCATCCACGTGTGCCTCTAGTCCAGCTCAACCCTGTCCTTCACGGGTCCAGATTCCTAACTGGAGGCCCCATCCGCCCCGTCTAACGTGGTGCAGGTGTAACAGATTCCTCCTCAGTCCCCACCTGCTTTGATGGGCCCTGGGCTGGTTGCTCCCAAGGGAGGATAGACGCCCCTTTTCCTGCTGCAGCTGCATCCATAACTGGAACCAGGGGCCTGTCCCCGCTCAGGGTAGCCGCCTCTGCCTGGGGCAAGGCTGCAGAGTTTTGTCCAAGAGCCCTCCTAGCAAAGGACCAGCAAAAGTCCTAGTTCCTAGTCCTTTACTAGCAAAGGACTAGTAAAAACTGCTAGCACAGGACTGCATTTCCATCRCAGGCTGCGGCACCAGGGGCGCCCCGACACGCAGTAGGAGGGTGATGGCCCTGACACCCCAATGGGCTGCACRGCCCCGGGCGCAGGTCCCCGTTCCTGCCTTTTATGCAGCAGAGCAGGGAAGGGGCTGGAGGAGCGGGGACACGGCRCAGCAGGGCTGCATGTGCACGTGCCCCACTGCAGAGCTACGGCGAAAAACTGCTTTGGGGGTTTTCTTATTTCTAGTTGTGTGAAATGTTTACACCTAGGCACAAGGCTAGTTTAATATCCCTTCAGGARCAGCAGTAGGGGACAAGAACCATTCCCGGTGACAGTGTCCCCGCAGCGTGGAATAATGGGAGCTGAGCCCCGTTGCCCCGACACCGTTGTTCTTGTGCTGTRGTCAGTGCCAGTCTCACACACCCGTGTTCTGCAGGACGGGATTTCGGCAGCTCCAGCTGCTGTCCACGCTCTGCCCAGATAAAATATCCGCCCCGGATAAAAGCCCGTCCCTGGAGGGTGCCAGTGGCGTCCCGTGTCCGCGGGCAGCTCCGAGTGCTGCCCTCCTGGTGYGGGAGCCTCTTGCCCCCCTTATCAGAGCAGCTCCTGCCAAAGCTGTTGCCCGGCGCCCTGCGGAGCTCAGAGCCCGGCACAGGGCTGGGGAGAGGGCTCGGAGCGCTGCTCTGCGCCCACTCTGTGCCCATTGCAGCCCCTGCTGCAGTCTCCATTGCAATTCCTGCTGCAGCCCCTGCCACAGCCCCTGCTGCAGCCCCCATTGCAGTCTCCATTGCAACCCCTGCTGCAGCCCCTGCTGCAGCCCCCACGGCTCCGCGTTCATCCCCGCAGAGCAGCAGCGAAGCCCAGGGCAGTCCCCAGCACGAGCTAGTTCAGTCTTGCCCATCACAGGGAGATCRTTTCTGCCTTGGTCCCAACACACGCTCATAGGATATGCTGGCCAAACCCATGATCCGTTTATCRTTATTTATTTAAGAAGCCAATATTTTCCTAGAATAATACTTATTAGAAGCAGCAACTATAGATTTGCAATATGGGGAAAAACAGTTGAAGGCCTCTGCTTTGGGGGGTATCTGCTATAGGAAATGTCTAGGTTTGTCTTGCAAGCAAGTTGTCAGGTATATTTAGGAAAAAAAAATAGAGGCATTCTCTACACCAAGATCCATAAGGGCCACGTCACTGGGGGCTGCACAACCCTGTGGGCTGATGGCAACAGGCAGTGATAAGTACTAGCACCATGCAACCGAGAAATTCCATTTAACCATTCGTTTCTTTTCCGCTTCGCTTTGGATGTGCGTGTTGAGGTGGTGCCTAGTACTGGATCCTGCACTGGAGGGGGGGACACCGGCTCCAGAGCCTCTGCTGCCGGGGGGGTGCGGGCGGRGGGCGCGACGTGGTGCCCCGGGGAGGGAGCGGGAGGGCTCCTGCCCCGACCCGCAGCGTCGGCTGCGGGCGGGCGAGCTAAGAACGAAGTTATTTCCTCCTCCTGCGAGCGTTGCTGGAGATGCCGTCACGCTGCGGCGGGTTAGACCTTGCCAGCGGGGCTGGGCCCGGGCTGCAGGCGGCCGACGCATCAGGTTGGCAGCGCCCTGCACTGCCCGTCCGCTCCAGCCGTCTGTGCATCGAGCAGGAAACGACTTCTTTATTAGCAGCCGTGTGCCCGGCTGTGCTGCAGCCCCGAGGAGCTGCCTGCCCGAGGGTCCTAGCGCCCGGGAGGGACGGGGGACGGGGAAGAGCTCTCCCGGCATCCGTGGCCCCCCGCTGCCCTAACCAGCCAGTTCTTCTTTCCAATACAGATGGCAGCGCAGAGGCAGCGCGCCCTGGCCATCATGTGCCGCGTGTACGTGGGCTCCATTTACTATGAGCTGGGAGAAGACACCATTCGCCAGGCCTTTGCCCCCTTCGGACCTATAAAAAGCATTGATATGTCCTGGGACTCTGTTACGATGAAGCACAAGGTTGGTTCGCAGGGCTCGAGCGATGTTTTCGTTGTATCCGTGAGGCCCTCCTGGTTATACCCGGGAAAAGGAGCCTTGATCCTTGGCCAGTGAGCTGCTCCAGGACGTGGCCTTTGCGGGGAGGGTTGGTGGCCGCCCGCTGTGCTCGGCGGCGTGGGGGGCTGCACTGGGAGCCGGCCACACGTGGGCAAGTGGAAGGTGCTGAGCAGGCCTGGGTGCAGCCTGCAGGCCTGGCTCTGTTAGGCCTCGGGGTACCAGAAGTCAGGGAGCGGGTGGCCGGGGGGCTGGGCTTCATCCTGCCATTTTCTGCTTTCTTAAAAAAAAAAGCCTAGGGAAGAGCCTCCCCAGGCCRCAATAATTGGAATCCGGTACAGGGGAAGTCTGGCTGCATTAGCTGGCACTGGTTTGAGACAGSCTGACGTGGGTGTGATTCAGTGAGAGTGTCGCTCTGTTCCAGGGTTTTGCTTTTGTGGAATACGAGGTGCCTGAAGCTGCTCAGCTGGCCTTGGAGCAGATGAACTCCGTCATGTTGGGGGGCAGGAATATAAAGGTGAGTAGCAGACAAGCTTTGAGGCTCGTTGCTTTTTACCAYCAGGGAAGCTTTTCATGGCGAGAAACGCTTCGCACAGCACCGTGCTGTGCAGGGTGTCCTAGAATCTCCTTCCTGCTGGACCTTCACGTTCAGCAGCCTTCACCTGCATTCTGCACGTCTGCGGCGCCCGCTTCAAAGCAGTTTCTAGGAGCCTTTGCAGACGGGCAGGAAGGCTCCGTGTCTTCCTTTCACGTTGTTCTCGCCGTGTGGGAGTCGGTCCCTGGCAGGGGAGGGGACACAAGTGCTTGCTTATTAAAAACGGGGCAGAGAAGTGGACCCAGCAGGCGATTCAGCAGCTCCCTCGGGGTGCTGCCGCTCTTGGCAGGCCGCGGTGCTGCTGCTCCTGTGCTCAGGGGCTCTGTGTTCGCTCTGCAGGTTGGAAGACCAAGCAACATAGGCCAGGCTCAGCCCATCATAGACCAGCTGGCRGAGGAGGCGCGGGCCTTTAACCGCATCTACGTGGCGTCTGTGCACCAGGACCTCTCCGATGATGACATCAAGAGCGTGTTCGAGGCCTTCGGGAAGATCAAGTCCTGCACGCTCGCGCGGGATCCTACGACAGGGAAACACAAAGGCTATGGCTTCATTGGTAAAGCAGCTGCCTGATACCGGGGAGGGAATGTCRCTCCAATTATCCTCTTTGTTTTTACTCTAGTGGAATAATTATTTTAAACTGCAGAGCAATAGCCCATTTGGAGGAGGATCTGTGCCCAAGCTTAGAAATCTAATTAGCTGAGACACTTTGCTTACTGTCCTTAACGATGCTTGCATGGTCAGAGCTATAAGATGAGTGAGCTAAGACGGAAAGGCCTCTCRCTGGAGCTCTAAGTGGTCTTATTTTCTTCATAAATAAAAGTCTAGGCTGTGCATTGAGAGCGAGGGGTCGAGTTCCCACGTTCAGAAGGTCGTTTACAGGCGTTTCTCTGTCTCTCGCAGAGTACGAGAAAGCGCAGTCTTCCCAGGACGCCGTCTCTTCCATGAACCTCTTCGACCTCGGCGGGCAGTACCTGCGGGTCGGCAAGGCCGTCACCCCCCCGATGCCGCTGCTGACGCCGGCCACCCCGGGCGGGCTGCCCCCGGCTGCAGCTGTGGCTGCCGCGGCAGCCACGGCGAAAATCACAGCCCAGGTAAGGCGCAGGCCATTCCACACAACGGGGGGTTGTTTTGGCCCCGTTAGAGTCGGGAGTACAAGCTCTTCCAGGACTGCTCCTCGGTAGTCTCCATGAAAGCTGCGTTCCCAGGACTGCAGAAGTGGAAGGACACTTGTCTAGGACACTTGTGCGGCTCTGGAAGACAGTAGGATTGGAACTTTAAATGGGTGAGGAAGGATGGCTAGGCATGCTAAAAATCAGGCAAATGGTTAAAAAGTTAAAGAATATCAGAAAGTGTGTGATGGGTAGGTAGCAATGAGGGCAATAACAGTCACCCGAGCAATGTAACTGTTGAAAAGCTTCTGCCTGTGGTGAGGTGAAGGGCAGCGGTAGGGGCTTCAGGCTGTCCAGAAAACGGGTACCACGGCGAGGGAGCAGGACTGAATATTGAGGCAGGGGTGCAGAGTTCCCCAGTTGAGTCACCCCGAGGCTGCAGTGAGAAGCAACACAAGCTGCTGCCCGTGACTAGAGGAGGTCTGGTGTTCAAGGAGTTCCTTGAACTGGTGTTCAAGGCAGTCCCAGTGTGTTTGCCCATCTTCCTTGCCTGAGAGGAAGCAGGTCCTCTCCTTCAGTGCAGCTCTTGTACAGAGTAGCTTAAATTAAATACAGGCCCCATCTCCATATGTTCTTCAAGGGCTTTGTGGTTTCTGTAGAACAGACTCGTGAAATGAAAGAAGCTGATSAGTAACTCAGGTAACTCAGAATCCATGAGCATCAGGGGGAAGCTCTAACTCTAATTTTGCCTGGAATTAGCGTGCTGACCAAGGAAGAGGGGAGTGTCTCCCTTTACACACTTCAGTAAAGCTCCGAGTAGGGACAGGTTATTTGCTGTTTAGTCAATTCTGTCAGGTCAGGGCTGCTGTTGTGTGCCTGGGAAACAGTAAACACGACACCTGTGTTCAAAGTGTTGTGGAAAAAATGTGGTATCCACAGACTTGTCCTGACCCTGATGTGAGGGAAAGATGGAAAACAAGCGTTGAAGGAAGGACAGAGGTTTAAGTAAAAGCAGTTATGGAATATATTGGGTTGTTCTAGGGGAATATCCTGATAGGTGATAACTTTCTAAAATTTCTGCTGAGTTTTATTGGAATAGAAGTGTGCTGCGTAGTCTACCCATAGCTCAGAGCATAATTCGGTAGAGACCTGTAAGAAAAGGTTAGACAGGGCCAAGGCTGTTACACTGAGTTTAAGATGCATGAATTAAATGAAGAGAGAGTGAAAATGAGCTGTGCTGGAAGTCGCTTGCCCTTCCCTGTGATAGTTCTGGTGGAATTATTTCATGATTTATCTCCATTAATAAAAACATTAGGCATCTTATTAGGCATCTGAGTCTGGGAATTAGAGTTCTAATGAAATTTGTCGGTAACACAGAGATGAGATGCATTATAAATATAGAGGAGAAACGGAATATTACAACGGAGAAGTGAGATCCTGAAGGATGGAATCGGAGATCTATGGCATTTACTAGCAGRATACAAGATACTGCATTTAAGAATCAAAACATAAGAATTTTTGCTCTGTGATGGGAGTTTATAGGAGGCCTCTGCAAACAAGAGAAGGGTTTGTAAGTGTAATTTGCTGTTAAACAACAACAAAAATGTAATCCTAAAATACGTTAAGCAAATTATTTAGTAGCTTTATAGAAGTGTTATCATTTTCACAAAGTCTTCATCTAGAATATTACTTGAATTTTGGGCATCTGGAGTCAAGAGTCTTATTTGGATTAGAGAGAAGGACTGCAACAATAAGGGAAATGAAAAACCTGATATAGTGTAAGAAACAGAGGAGCTTTGCTTGCCTTAACTAATAATTATGCTGAAAAGAGCATCAAATTATTGCTTGAATGCAGTGCATGTGGAAGCAAGCAGGTAACAGGATGGGAGAAGAGGTTCAGACAATGTGGATGACACGGATGGCCATAAAATGCCTTAGTTAGCAAAGSTGGAAATTTGAGGGAAGCTTCCAGATTTCCAAAGGGATAAAGCTCAGCAGGACCTTCCCAGGAGATGGTGCTGGCACAACGTAGCTGTGCGGTTGTCTCGTTCCTAAACTCACTGTCGGGATAATTATCTGCAGTTGCTTGATGATCAAGGCCACCGTCAGTGGCCATCTGATACTGAGTTAAGCCTTAAGAAAAAGCTAGGCTGGAAGAATTCCCTGGCCTGGTCTTTCACACAAGGGCCCCAAGTGTCAGCAGAAGGGGTGGGATGGGGGCTCCCATCAATCTGATTAAATGGATTAGAATTCCTTAGCATTAATAAAGGGCTCTTGCTGTCCTCCCRAGCTATCCAGCAGGGCCTCCGCCTGACTGCCCCCTCAACTGCTTCACAGCGGTAGTTTGAGGCCCTCTAGAGTCTGAGGAGGTTGAAACAAGTCGAGGTTCCCTCTGCTCTGGAATTGCCTGCGCTCCTACAAGCAGGGGTGGAATCCTGTGTGCCTCCTTCAGCAGTGTCCCCAGCACCTGGCCAGCAGGATCTGAAATCCCCAGGACTGTGCATCCCCGGGAGCTGTGTTTTTAGGACTTTAGTGAAAACGAAGGGGAAGGGGCTGACGAAACCTCTTTGGTTTTCCTCCTTGCAGGAAGCAGTGGCCGGAGCTGCAGTTCTGGGCACRCTGGCGACTCCCGGCCTCGTCTCCCCGGCCCTGACGCTGGCGCAGCCGCTCGGGGCGTTGCCGCAGGCCGTGATGGCAGCACAGGCACCAGGAGTCATCACAGGTGGGTTTGCTGCTCAGTTCCACACAACTAGGGTCATGGCTGCGGAGGACGTGGAGCTGAAATTCCCCTCCCTGCCCTCCCTTGTCAAGACCTTTTATTTTTTAATTTTTGCAGCAGAGCAGGAGTTTATTTTGGTATAAAGAGGCCAAGCTCTTCTCAGTGGTGGCCAGTGGTAATGGGTGACAAGGGGTAATGGRTGCAAGCTGCAACACAAGCAGTTCCATCTCCATGTGAGGAGGAACCTCTGCACTGTGAGGGTGCCAGAGCCCTGGCACAGGCTGCCTAGGACGGTTGTGGAGTCTCCTTCTCTGGAGGTCTTCAAAGCCCGCCTGGATGCCACCCTGTGCCCCGTGCTCTGGGTGTCCCTGCTGGAGCAGGGGGTTGGACTGGATGATCTCTAGAGGTCCCTTCCAACCTCAACCATTCTGTGATTCTGTAATAAATAAGACAAGGAGTTGAGCTTTGCAGCAGAAATGGATGGCACCATGAGTGAAGGTGTGGATGGGGGGCTGTTACTCCATGCAGAACCTGCGCTCTGCTGCCTCCCACCTGGGCAAGCGTAAGATGCACGTGTGGGTGCGTGTTCCCTGTGTGCTGCCCGAGCAGCTGCTTAAGCCCCTGGGCCGTTCATGGTGTGGACAGACTGCGTGACCCCTTCCTGCTGCTACCTGGCCAGAGGTTGCAGTCCCGGAGTTCTCTTCCTAACGCTGCAGCGTTTGTTCTCTTGCAGGTGTAACCCCCGCTCGACCTCCCATTCCAGTCACCATCCCCCAGGTGGGAGTCGTCAACCCTATCCTGGCCAGCCCCCCCACGCTGGGCCTGGTGGAGGTCAAGAAGGAGAAGGAGGAGGAGGAGGTTTTCCAGGAGTCGGAGAGACCGGAGATGCTGAGCGAGCAGGAGCACATGAGCATCTCGGGCAGCAGCGCACGCCACATGGTGATGCAGAAGCTGCTTCGGAAACAGGAGGTGAGTGTGGCTGCCCGGAGCTGCCCTCGGGTCTCGGCGGGTGAGGCCTTGGTTCGGGTCCATCTCCATAGCTCAGCAGTCCACGGTCTCCACCAGCTTCCACCAGTCTCCACCAGCTTCCAGCAGCAGATACTGCAGGCGCCCCGCAGAACTAGCGTGGGAGCGCGCAGGCTGCCTGCTCCTGCGCTGCGTGCGGCGGCTCTGCGTGCTCTGCTTTTGGCAGCTGCTGCTTTGGAGCTTCTGCAGGGGCTGCCCAGCTGCTGGGCCACAGAAGGCTTCGCTCGTAGGGCCTCCTCATTAAACCGTCTGTTCGCCCAAAGTCATTGAAAGGCCACCTTGGTTTGCTCTGGCTTGTAATTAAACAGGCAAACCTACCACATGGTGTCAAAGGCAGTCTGTTTTCAAGTGCTAAAAACACCTTTTCACGCAGCCTCTAGGGTAAAACTCTGGGTATTTACAGCAAATGTCAGCAGATGCAGTGAGAAAGAGGACAGGACTGACGGGAAGTGGCACCGGGTGTCTCTGTACAAACCCGGCCGGAGACTTGCGCATGATTCAGATCCTTCCTGGATGCAGGAATTTCCCGAGCTCTGGCACCGTGTGGACCATTCATCTCTCTGTTTCCACAGCAGGGATAGTGCCGATGTGCACTTCTTAAGAGAGCATGAATGTTCCCCTTTGATTGCAGGTGGTAATCAGCAGTATAGCTGCATCTGCAAGACTTTGCTGCCAGCCTTTCCTCTGTCACAAGGACCTTTCCCTAAGAATCCAGCTCAGCTGGATCCTTGCATGAAAGAAACATTCAGCGGCATCAAAAAAGTCTCAGAACTGCTGAGACTTCGGAGAGGTGTTGGGCTTCTCACTGCATTTCTGGGTTTCTGCCCTTAGTAGGCCCATAGAGACACTTAAACACATCCATGTATGCAYGTAGCACACAGGCCAATGCACTGCTGTTTAGTTATCTCCTTAGTGATCGTATCTGGTTAGTTGTCAAAGGTGTAGAAGAGTTGGTTAAACCTTCCAGCGTGTGCCGAGATGAAGGACAATATTCACCAAAATATCTAACAAAATTGCTGAAAGTCATGAATGAAAAACTAATGGGATAGC